GTTTCTGCTTTTTCTTTTGCGTGTGTTTTTTTAATTTGCTTCGCATTTTCATTTTGTTTCTGCTTTTTCTTTTGCGTGTGTTTTTTTAATTTGCAGCGCATTTTCATTTTGTTTCTGCTTTTTCTTCTGCGTGTGTTTTTTTAATTTGCAGCGCATTTTCATTTTGTTTCTGCTTTTTTTTGTGTGTGTGTTTTGTCTCTAGGGGCCACCGTAGTAAACTGGTCGCATGACACTTTGATCAATTGTTCACACTTATTTGAATAAGAAGCCATATTTCCAAATGGAATTCGGAGGTCTTATTCATCTTGGGTAAGGTAAATATGAAATGCATAGTAAACAGCAGGCATGCCACTCTAATGAAACTGAAATTAGCCTAGGCCAGATAGCTACCTAGCTGAAAACATGGCAGTCTGACCCAGGCTAATTTCAGTGTTTCCTTACAATGGCATACCTGCCATTATATCGCACGACATAATATTTAATTTCGTATTTTCAAAATGTTTTAACTAAAAACTGCACAGCATGTGCAGCTTCGAACACTCCCCTATAAGGAAGCTGCAAGTAACTTAAGCCCCGAAATAAGACGCCACGAATAAGAAGCTAAATGAATCGGAAGCTGTAGCTAGTAGCTAACTTAAGCCGAGTGTGACTTTGCCATTAGTTTGGGCGATACGGGCAAGAAACACAAGAAGAAAGGAATCGGCAAACGCACTGAGAAGCACAGCAGTGATCAGTAGCTCCGCCCACCGCCCCGCTCCGATTAACATATATTTGCATGTAGTGAACTTGAAAATGAAAAGCCAAAGTAGGAAATGAAAAGACAAAAAGGGTTTTTAATTTTATTATTCAATTTCTCACATCTGACTCATACATGAGTGGAAAATTAAAATGCAAATAGTGCTATTTCATTTAAATTTTAATTTGTGCAGGATTTTTATGCACAGACTTTGGGAAGTAAATGGCTGTCACGCCCCGCTCTGTCCACTCCTAGTGTGTGCCATGCCCCCTCATTATCCACGTGTGCTTCCCCGATTGTGCCCAGCTGTTTCCGGTTTCTTTTGCCTTGTTCTGTGTATATGAGTCCGCGTCTCCCCATGTATGCCAGATCCGGCATTGTATTGTCCGTCGATGTCCGTCTCTTGTGCA